TACCACTTAGGGAGGAGCCAGGTTGATCCCATTCACCGGTGGCGGAATCAACATAGCAGACAGAATTACATGGCAACTGCCCCACCCCATCGAAGTTTCCTCCAAAGTAGATATCAGATGAACCCGGTCGATTGACAATAGCATTGACTGAGACATCCGAGCCCGAGAAAGCCGGCTGAGTCTGTGAGAACTCATTCTTGTCCAGTTCATAAACCACAAGACCTTGCAGAGTGGTACGACCGATGTTTCCAGTGACATTTCCACCCGCATAGAGGGTGTCGTTGTGCACAAGCATTGAAACAAATGTTGAGTTACTGTCGATGCCTTGCGGTAGACCTGAGATCTTCTGATCGGTACCGTTGAGGATGGCAATGTTTTCAATGGTGGATCCATTGCTGCCAGCGGCAGCGAAATGCCCACCGTAGATAGTGAGATTCCGGCTCGAATCGGTATCATAGGCACCGGTGATCAGACCAGTGCTCGATTTTTGGTGGTTGATCTTCATCGATAGAGGAATGAGTTGCAAATCATCGGAATCTAGCAGTGACACCGCACCACCAGCGATAATACCATTGGTGGCAAGATTGCCTGCCAAAATGAGCGTATTGTTGTGCGAAGCAACACTTGAGAGTTGGCCACCGAACTGCATCTGTGTAACGTTCAGGTTCTGGAGCCAGTCCTTGCGAGAAGGAACCCAGATGGCGAAACCGGCAACAGATACTGCGGGGTTCCCGTTGGAAGCGATGATCTGATCAAAGTCGCCGCTCACAGCAAGGATTGTTTCATTGATAGCAGTTGATGCATTCAATTCAACAGCCCAAATCGAACTAACAGGACCGTTCAGTCCTGCCCCCAGGGCTGACCACTCTTTGGAAGAGTATGAGTATGCCGCAACGTGTTGGAGGCCCTTAGAACCTGCATCAGAGGTATCGGTGAAGCGACCTCCAACATACAGGACATTGTCAAGGGTGGTCATTGCTAGTACTGGAGAGTTCAATCCAGAACCGGGCATTGCTGTGATGTTGCCATCCTTGATCGACATGATGTGGTGGATCTTGCTGTGGGAGAAGTTACCGGCGACATAGATCACATCATCATGCTCCTTGATGACTGAGATTGTTGCGTTATGATCAAGTGAAGTCCCCGCCTTGTTAATGTCCGACTTTGTAAGATCCGAGGTTTCAATATTGGAGGTCGGATCATAGTCGTACAGTCCATTGAGACCACCAGTGCTGGAGAGCAGTTCAAATCGGACACGAGACGCCACAATGGTGATATCCCCTTGGCCGTCCTTGGCCCGCAGGGTAACCTTTGGTCGGAAGGAGTCACTGTTGGCATCAACGTACCCAGTATAGAATGTGTCATACTTGTCGTCGCGGTTGGTCTGGTAGAAATATGACGGATCGGGCTGGTCAGAGTCTGATCCACTCGAAAGGGTAGCCGTGACATTAACAATGCCTCGTGAGCTGCAAGAGTTGTCCTGGGTGCAGCCGGGGGTATATAGCTTGATGGTATAATTCCCGGATTTCTTCACATCTGGCTCGAATGTGACGGATGTAGTCGAGGCATCAGAGTCGGTCACCTTTGCAGACACATACCCAGACTCGAAATTCCAAGAGCCTGTGCGCGTTGACTTGGCGGGGTATTCAATGCCTGAGCATGTCGGTTCGTTGTATTGGTCGATAGCGTATGTTAGGATTTGATCTTGGAATACTTCAACTCCGTTCAGGCCAGCTCCTTGTCCGTACCAACTCAGAACCTCGATCTGAAGTCCCCGCATACCAACGGGATTAACCATGGTGAATTCACGGTATGTTTCACTCGTGCTGCTGGAAAGCGGGCAGGACGAGTCACAGCTGGCCTTTTTTCCTGACTCGTCGATGTAAGTCAGATTCATGATACCATTGTCGGGGAGCGCTCGAAGTAAGAACTCCTTAGTGCCGCGTCCATCCAAATGAGTGTTGTAAAGGCGGATTTTAGTCGGGAAAAAATCGAATCCGAGGTCTGCTCTCCAAAATCCAGGCGCATAGTCGTGTAGAAGATAGGTCTTGCCTTTGGCAGCCTTCCCATCAGTCGAGCAAATGATGTTACGAGGATCGGAGTAGCCGTCCAAAGGAGACTCTGCATCGGATGTGATGGTCGCATTTTGGAGGTTGAGGACTTGTCTTTCGTTTGAGGAGCTGGTGCTGTTTCCCAGGGCGTCAAATGATCCTCCAAAGATGATATGGCCGTCGTCAGCCTTCAAAATCGAGCTGACTGGGCCATTCAGGCCATTGAACGGGAGATCAGTCCAGCCATCGTCAGGCGACCATGCGACGGCGTTAGTCGTGTTGTCGTGGGCGAATTTTCCTCCAACGTAGACGCGGTTAGTGTCCTGGTCGCAAGTCACGGCCGCTACCGAGCCAGAAAGGCCCGGCAAGGCAGTAATCTTGCTGGTATTCGGGTCGAAGAGAGCAGCACCGGGTGAATCGACTCCACCCAGGCTGGTGAAGTTACCACCGACAAATATCCCCGTGAAAGTTCCATCCTTTTGCGTGAAGGGGCACATTGCCGTGATCTGCGCGTTGGCGGATGAAAGATTTGTGAGAATGCCGTTCGGTAGCGGGGTCAGAAGGGCTTGGGTGCCATCAGGAATCGATTCGGTCTGTTCCTTATATTGATAGAGGGAAACGCCATCGAAATCACCAGTAATTGATACCCGTCCCAGCGAGGTCAGGTCCAGCTCCGGAACGGAGACTGACTCGAATGACAGGGCGTTGAGAGTTGGTAAAAGCGCGAGGAGCGAGGGCCAGCCGGCCGCCGCGGGCCCAAACAATGAAGAGATCCTCATTGTCGTGGGAGCGACGACGGGCAAGAGAAGTATAGTTAACCAGTTGAAATGGCTAGAATGGCTGAAGCGAGTGTGGGAAGACTAGACAGGGCTGTGCTGTCCAAGGAATTCAGGGAGGCCGTCAGGCCGCAACGCGTGGAGAAAAGAACGTGATAAAGAATGTGGCATAAAAAAAAGAACTTAGAAGCAAAGGAATGTAAGTGAATGAATCATGCTCGAGACCGAAGCCTCACTGCATTTGAGTATCAACGAATGACTGAATATGAATGTGAAGGGAACCCAGGGGAAGACCCAGTTTGCTTGTTTTTCGAAATTGAAACGGCAATACTTTAAATTACGGCTCCCAAATTAAAAATACAAGGACCACCACGCTAATGCACTTAACAACTCACAAGCAACCAATGAGGGTGGCTATTCCCAGCCTCCCGTCTAAATAGTGGGGACCTATGGACCGTAGGTTATCAAAGGTCTCTCGATGCTGTTAACAACGATAGTATTATGTACTAAAGGAAAAAAGCAAATGTGTCTGCAATTGAGGGTTCTGTTGTTTGTCAAACAAACCCTCAGATTGATATCTAATAGTCTGTCCACAATCACTAGGGCAAGGGGGACTCGGTACAATGAGGATCTACCGTTGTACGACTAATTTGCCGGTAATGACGATGATGTACGAAATACTCAGCACTGCCCTTGTCTCCTGAACTCATCCACGGATATCTCCTTGAAATCCCTTCTGATATATCGGAAGTGCTTTTTAATGTCAATTATTTCAATGCCTGTCGACAATGTACTTACCCACCTATATTGTATCTGTACGGAGTAGATCGATATGTATTAATATAGCCTTAGAATCCCATCGTACACCAACGTTGAGCTAAATCACCAAGTGGATCCCAATATTTTGTCGCAGAAATGATCCAAAGCCCCGCGTTGTTTCGCTTAAATATAGAATTGGCTCCACGATCTGGCTCAGTCTGCGTATCCCAACACACGCACGCCTCCAGGACATACGTTGTAGATGTTTGGTTCCTTTGGAATCCACATAATCAACATGTACCCTCTGTATACGGAGTACGGAGTAGCAGGCAGCGAAATTGTCTACCCACAAACATACCTAGGTAGGTTTGCAGGTCAATAAGTGTATGTGTGCATAGAGTTTATGCTATAACAGGGGTAGTAAGGACGTTACATATAATAGAAAAGGGAAGAACATTGTGCTGGTTTCATCAGGTCTGCCCTGCCTACCGGATTTCCTACAACATATGCTACTTCTTGGCCTTCCCTTTCCGTTTTAGTGCTCACACGTCGCCGCTTTTTGCTTACTGAGCATACCCTGAGTCCTGAGCGGTGGGTGAGCGGTGGATGAGCGGCCTGAGTAGCGCGACCATTCTTCATGATGAACTCGTCGCAGTTAATTGCGCCGCGACGGTACCTGCAACTTAGCCAGCTAGTCAGTATTACACTTGACCCTTTCTGCTCCTAGGACTACTTTGCCTACTGGCCCCATGGACTAACTCCCAGTCAAGCTTTGGAGGGGTCCATGCTGCAGGATTTGTTCGAGGAGCAGAAGGAGGCGGTTACACTCGACGAGAGGGAGAGTTTTCAGAGGGTGCGAAGGACCTCGTATATGGAGTAGGATTGCCTTAGATGTATGTCTAGTATTTTGGCCCTGGAAATATTGTAAAAGCAACAACCGTGATCGTATGGTAGCTAACGAGTCTTTCAAGTGAAGAACATGGGGTTGCGAGATTAAGTTAGTTAACTAACCGTACATAACTAGGATATCCCTACTTGGCTTTGACGGCTAGGAGCATACCAGAACTCCTGTCAAGCTTGCGCAAAACAGTAGAGACTAGTATGCATTGAATAGGGATCTAGTAAGAAGGGGAACCAATCAAATGAATTCAACAAGATTGAATTAATTAAGGAAAGAGCTAAATAGAGTGGTAGATCGGGTGCATGTCTAGATGCATCTCCCAAGCATCGTCCGATAGCGATATTGCCAGATACTTCGAGTACAACGGACCTCGGATGCTGAAGGAGCCAATACAAAACTGGCCAATTAGGCGTAGCCGCGAAGTCAGGAGGTACCAATGCAACATCTCACACTCCACTTTCCTCAACTCCTCTCTTCAATCTACTATTATTGTCAGCCAACTCACACGTAGCCATGGGCAAGTTCTACGGGTCCATTTCAGACGACCTACGTGACTGGGCCCTACGCCAAAGCGTTTTCTTTGTGGCTTCTGCTCCTCTTCGTGGCCGACATATCAACCTTTCTCCAAAGGGTTTACCCGATTCTTGCCTTGCGGTCCTCGATCCAAACCAGGTAGCGTATATCGATTCAACCGGGTCTGGCTGCGAAACCATCTCCCACGTGCGCGAAAATGGTCGCATTACCTTGATGTTCTGCTCGTTTGATGCGTCTCCTCGTATCCTGCGGCTGTTCTGTACTGGTACTGTTATCGAGTGGGACCAGCCCGAGTTTGGTCGATGTCTACAGCGCATGGGGAAGCCTCCCATTGTGGGAGCGCGCGCTATCATCCAACTTGACGTTTTCAAGGTTAGCATTTGTCTTTCGTATGACTTTCACTCGAGGATCAATCGGTTGCTTAGAAAGCAAGACCGAATTAGAAGCACCCCGAATATAATGCGTCTTAGAGATATGACTCATAACAAGGGTTGATTCTGTCTAACGACATATCCAGGTTCAGACCTCCTGCGGTTATGGTGTCCCACTATTGACCCTAACTAACGATCCCGAAACCGACAAATCCAGCCCGTATCTTCAAGACCGCCAGACACTAGGCCACTTTGCTACCAAAAAGGTTAGTGCCGGGCAGATGCAAAAATACCAACAAGAATGGAATTCCCGCAGCCTAGACGGGCTCCCAGGTCTTCGATCTGCGCTGAAAGATAGCGGCCATTATACTTGGCAGTTGGAGTTAGAAAATTGGTTCAGTCAACACTGGAACGAGGTTCAGATATTGAAGTCGTTGGCTTTAGTGTTCTTTGTGTTCGTGGGGTTTATGGCAATAAGGTGGGGCAAGTTGTAATTGTGGACGAGTGACTCTATGCGTTTCGATGCTCCAGTAGTACTAGTATCAGTTCGCGTGGGAATGCTATGAGATTACCACTGTACTTGGTTCTTAAAGGCGGCAGCTCAGAAAGGAAAGCCCCGGCAGAGGAAATATGGTACATGTACGGAGTACTCCGTACAACATATGTAGAGTGCCATATGTACATAACCTGAGTATCTCTTCAATGACAATGTGCTTCAAACTACATGACCAACTTTATTGTATATATTCAAAACTTATTACTAGCTCTACATGGAACTTTCCAACTTTCTGAAATTGAACTTGAATGATTCCTTCAAGAATAGCACGCTCTTGGTCGCCTCAGGCATTAACGCTAAACGCTTTTGGGCTGAATTGGCCTCCCTACGGCGCGCCGCAACGCGAACTCCAGAAACCGAAATCTTAAGCTTAAAGCTTTCAAGCTCCTCATCCCTCAACTACCTTTCTCATCTGTTTTTTCGCCACTTTACATCTCTTCCTTCTGCACCATATCCCTTCAACTGCCGCAATTTTACATCCACAAGCTCCATCATGTAAGAGTTTTCTGCAGTGGTTCTGATGTCCGGCACTGACCATCCTACAGGGAGAGCTTCGACAACATCTACCTAGACATCTCAAAGCAGCCTGGAAAATGCAAGCTCGCTGAAAGTGGTCTGGGCTGGCGCCCGTCCGGCGGCGGCGATACTTTCACACTTGACAGCAGCAACATCGGCGCAGCCCAATGGAGTCGCGCTGCGAAGGGCTTTGAGCTGAAGATCCTATCGCGATCGTCTGGAGTGATCCAACTGGATGGATTCGACCAAGAGGTATACGCTACCCGAGCATTTTGCGACCATTGACGTACAAGCTAACGACTCAAAAGGACTTTGAGCGACTGAGCAAAGCATTCAAGATTTGGTACGGCATTAACGTGGAGACCCGCGAGCACGCTTTACGAGGATGGAACTGGGGCAAGGCAGACTTCACAAAAGCAGAGCTGGCTTTTAACGTCCAAAACCGACCCGCCTTTGAGGTTCCTTATTCCGAAATCTCAAACACCAACCTGGCTGGAAGAAACGAGGTCGCCGTTGAGTTTTCCCTCCCCGCCGGCGACGGAAGCGATGCCGTGACAAAGCCCGGAAGCACAAGGAACCGAGGCCGCAAGGCTGCTGCAGGCCCCGACGAGCTGGTCGAAATGCGATTCTACATTCCCGGAACGGCCGTGAAGAAGGAGAAGGTGGAAGGCGCCGATGGCGAGGAAGAAGACAACGAGGAAGAGGCTGAGGAGCAAAACGCTGCCAATCTCTTCTACGAGACGCTTATGGACAAGGCCGAGATTGGAGATGTCGCCGGCGATACCTTTGCTACTTTCCTGGATGTTCTTCACCTCACGCCCAGAGGTCGCTTCGATATTGACATGTACGAATCATCCTTCCGGTTGCGCGGAAAGACATACGACTACAAGATTCAATATTCGGCCATTAAGAAATTCTTCCTTCTTCCAAAGAATGACGATACCCACACTCTTATTGTGCTCGGTCTTGATCCCCCTCTGCGACAGGGTCAGACCCGTTATCCTTTCCTGGTCATGCAGCTGAAGCTGGACGAGGAGATTAGCCTTGAGATGAACATGACAGAGTCAGTTTCCCTGCGCTTGTGTCTACTTTACCCACTAACAACCTTTTAGGGATATCTTGAACACTCAGTACAAGGACAGGTTGCAGCCACACTATGAAGAGCCAATCCACCAAGTCGTCACCAAGGTCTTCCGTGGTTTATCTGGAAAGAAGGTCATTATGCCTTCCAAGGATTTCTCCAGGTCAGTAACTGCCAGCCTATCTTTGCAACAACCCCGTGGCCCATTGCTAACATGCCCGTAGCCACCACGGTCACCAAGGCGTCAAGTGCTCAATCAAGGCCAACGAGGGTCTCCTATACTTCTTGGATAAGAGCCTCATGTTCGTTCCCAAGCCCGCGACCTACATTCAATTGGAGAACATCGCGATTGTCACAATGTCGCGTGTCGGAGGCGCTGTTTCCGCCAGCCGAACCTTCGACATCACTGTCAGCCTGAAGGGTGGTCTGGGTGAGCACCAATTTAGCAACATCAATCGGTAGGTGCCCAGATGTTTTTTTCTTTTTCCGGGGATATTCTAACATGGACAGCGAGGAGCAAAAATCCCTTGAGGACTTTTTCAAGGCTAAGAGCATCCGCATCAAGAATGAGATGGCCGAAGAGGTATGTGAACTCTGTTTCCCTGGTCTGTTAATACAAATGCTAATTCCCTCCTAGGCTGCTGGACTTATTGCTGCTGCTCTTGACAACGATGCCATGGGCTCCAGTGATGACGAAGCACGACCTGACCGCGGATCAGCAGATGAGGATGAGTCGTCAGTTGACGAAGACTTTGCTGGTTCTTCGGAATCTGACGTGGCCGAGGAGTTCGACTCGGATCATGAGAGTAGTGGCGATAGCGATGAGGAGATGGGCGATGCTTCCGATGGAGGGGGCGACGAGGATGAGCGTCCCAAGAAGAAGACCAAGGTTTAGATGTACTAGTTTCTTTTTTCAAAATATCCCAGTCTGTTCTAGTACAACATTTTATACGACATAGTCCAATGTTAATGTTCCTGATATAGTGGATCTCACGTGAGTTGATTGACCAATTCGGGGGCTTTCCAAGGTTCTTAACCCCTGATCTCAGGAGAAGGAGATCTGGCAAGTACACAAGTCCATGTACACATGTACGAGTGTTAGCTCGAGCAACCATTACCAATAGGATATCTCACATTCCTAGCTGGGAATAGAACTGCAGTCCTATTTCTTAGAACCATGCTGCAGTCACAAGTAATGGTGTTTTACGATGTCGGTGTACAGAGTAAATAGAGTAGAAAGGACCCGAAATATAGATAGAATAGGAGCAATTAAAGAAGATAAATAGAAGAAAGAAAGGAAAAAGCAATCAGATATATTAGATAGCATAGATAGAATATGTATACAAGTCCAAATCCATGACTAGCCAACACATCAGGTGTTTCTACGCGGGTCGATCCAAACCAACTGAAGAATAGCTGGGCCCCCCGACAACCTCTCCTCCCCCCTTTCTTTCCCAGACTGGAAGAGTCAACCTCCTTCTCTCCATCCTTTTCATCTTCTTTCGTTTTTCTTCTTTTCTTCTTTTCCTCGTCTCTCGCTTCCGGTCAATTTATTGCAACCCCCTTTTTTCTTTTGGGAAAGAACAACTTTAGGTACATTCCCCCCCGGCTCCCCGAATTTTTCCCCCTATCGCGACAATTCGACCCCACTGGAGATTAGGAAAGGCGACTGACGACATTCATCATCTAGGGGATCTTAATTCACGGTTTTACATATCCTAAATCCCTGGCTTTCGCAATGTGTAAGCTATTCCACCCATGATCAGGAGACAAACAATCCCGAGGCTCTTCCCCAGACAAGATGCTGATAGGTTTTTGAAGCTTCACCACCTGCGACCAGCTCCCCCGTCGCGTCTCCCGTCGTGTCCCGGGACTCTCCCACTCCCAACAGCGGCATGGAGTCGCCTTTTGTCGAGCGCAGCAACCCTATGGGCTCCGGTATCGCCCAGACCGTCACCTCCCGCGACCCCAAGGCCGCAGCTCAGGCCGCCACCGACATGAAGAACGTCGTCCGCCGCAAGCTGACTGGCTACGTCGGCTTCGCCAATCTGCCCAACCAGTGGCACCGCAAGAGTGTCCGCAAGGGCTTCAACTTCAATGTTATGGTTGTCGGTAAGTTAGACAGAAAGTGTTCCATGATCAAAGCTTATATCCGCCAGGTGAATCTGGTCTCGGAAAGTCCACCCTCGTGAACACCCTGTTCAACACCTCGCTCTACCCCCCGAAGGAGCGCACCGGTCCTAATGCCGATATCATCCCCAAGACTGTGTCTATCCAGTCGACCAGCGCCGACATTGAGGAGAACGGCGTGCGTCTCCGCCTGAGCGTGATTGATACACCTGGCTTCGGTGACTTTGTCAACAACGATGACTCCTGGCGCCCGATTGTCGAGAACATCGAGCAGCGCTACGACACCTACCTGGAGGCCGAGAACAAGGTCAACCGCAGCAACATTGTTGACAACCGCATCCACGCCTGTGTCTACTTCATCCAACCTACTGGCCACTCCCTGAAGCCCCTGGACATCGAGGTGATGCGCCGCCTGCACACCAAGGTCAACCTGATCCCCGTCATTGCCAAGGCTGATACCTTGACCGACGAGGAGGTTGCCCTTTTCAAGCAGCGTGTATGTTTTTTAGAACCCCGCCTTTAAGTCGATTGAAACTGTGGATACTGACTCTTCTAGATTCTTGCCGATATCGAACAACACTCCCTCCAGATCTTTGAAGGTCCCCGCTACGAGCTCGATGATGAGGAGACCATCGCTGAGAACCAGGAGATCATGTCCAAGGTTCCCTTCGCCGTTGTTGGTGCCAACTCCGAGGTGGCCACTGCTGATGGTCGTCGTGTTCGTGGCCGTAGCTACCCCTGGGGTATCATCGAGGTCGACAACGAGGAGCACTGTGACTTTGTCAAGCTGCGCCAGATGCTGATCCGCACCCACATGGAGGAGCTCAAGGAGCACACCAACAACTTCCTGTACGAGAACTACCGGTCCGACAAGCTCACCCTGATGGGCGTTGCCCAGGACCCCAGCGTCTTCAAGGAGGTCAACCCTGCCGTCAAGCAGGAGGAGGAGCGCGCCCTGCACGAGCAGAAGCTGGCCAAGATGGAAGCCGAAATGAAGATGGTCTTCCAGCAGAAGGTCGCCGAAAAAGAAAGCAAGCTCAAACAGAGCGAAGACGAACTCTATGCCCGACATCGCGAGATGAAGGATCAGCTAGATCGCCAGCGCGGAGAACTCGAGGAAAAGAAGGGTCGCCTCGAGACCGGACGCCCCGTCGAAGAGAAGGGCAAGCGAAAGGGCTTCTCGCTTCGCTAATGTCCATGTCTCTGCCATTACTTTTGCCTCTGCCTATACTTCTGGCAACTAACCGATCACACTCTCGTTCCCTTTTTTTTCCTTACACTTGTCACCCATCACACTCCCTTACCATCCCAATAACCCAACTGCTTTCTCACTGGATGGGCCCACGCTCCGAAAAAAGAATGGGGTTTTTTTTCTTACCGATTGATTGATAATACGATCCTGCGAGGGTCAGCCTGGGACCTTTCACTTCTTGTGATGTACTTTTTGCTACGCCATATCTTGTCTTGCCGCTTTTCTGTGTGCCCTATTACCCGCTCATTTCGTTATTTTCTTAGTGTTTGGGACATTTGGTTGCTCGCCGCCTGTCCGTCTGTTAGTCAATTCAGCGCTTCAGCTTTAGATTTTGTCCAAGTAGACGGTAGACATTGTTTTCGGATGTATTCGGTGGCTTGCGCGTAACAGACATCACCTGTAGCCAAACGTGCGGACCGAGTACTCTTTTACTTAGTGTTTACCCGTATTGATTGAATCAATAGCGATAGCATCAAGCTAGCTAAATAATTGAGAAATGGGAGAGGAGCAAGGCGAAATACGCAAGCTTTTCACATTGTATGTATTGCAGCGCGAAGGGTTATAGGCACGTTAAAGTATGCTGTATAAACCCGAGAGCCTGAGCTGCTGGGAGTTATATATGACCGAAAATCCCTGTCCCGAAGCTTACTTTCTAGAAGAAAAACAACAGATAGAAAAACAACAGAAGAGCGCGCATGCATTCGTCTACTATCTTTCGACTTCTAATTTGGTTATTAGCGAGTGCTGTTCTGTCCACCGGGCATCATATGACCTAGCCCGTCGGGCAGAGAAACTATTCTAGAGCTCTGTAAAGACAAAGAATGACCACGACAAGTAGTGGATTTTCTCGGGCTTCGGATAGCAAAGGACGGGGCCTCAGCAAAGCTCTGTTTTATACCGATAAAAAGTAGCTCAGCGATTAAGAGTCAAAAGGCAGAGATCGCCTTCTTTCCTCCTTTGCGCATGAGATTATGTTTCGCTTGGGATTAGAAGGGATTGCAAGCGGAATTGAATTAAATATCCGTAAACACTGGGTAACGGAGACACTCCAAAGACAAACATGTTATGTACTAGACCTATACTCTCACTTTTGTTCCAATTTTCTCTCAATTCGCTCTCCAAATTACCAAGAGCATACTGCTTGAATAATAGTCCCCACCAGGTCCCTAGGTAGAGAATCGATGTAGGTAGTCATCGTGTATGCCGTAGAGAGGGTTAGCAAAGTCACGTGGGATAAATATATGACGCCACTCATATATCCAACCCAGGAGGTATGGCCAAGCGGTAAACGCTTGAGCGATATCTCACTCATCTGGGAGCGTGGATTCCCTCTAGTTACGGTCCAAACTGCGCACGAACCCAAAAAAGGGGGCGCAGCCTCTATCCTAAGGGAGTGCAGACTCCCTCTATCCTGGGTCTTCCTAGAAGACGGGCAGGGAATTTCGATCTCTGCCCGGAATCATGTCTTTTTGCTATTGTCTATGTTATACATTTTACATGCCTTTTGCTTGTAGGAGCTACATGGTCAGATAACCTAGGGTTGTGTTGGGCACTTCTTGTGCCTGCGAAAGTGGACATCTCTTCATGTCATTTGGGGTGATATTTTGTTTTCGTTTGAGGTATTTATTCCTACAGTTTGTTGCAAGAAACAGATAAAACTCAAACAACATGGTTATTGAGGTCGGAGAAGGCACTCTAGGCAACCTATAAAAGATCAACTAAGCACAGCTTCTGCCGACATTGGTTTCCTCCATTCTCCATCCAATCCTTAGTGCAACCCTCTGGAAACCACAGCTGCACGGCAAAGGAACTAAAGCTTTAGTGAGTACTACAATTGACCGATGATGATGTGAGCATTTTTGTTATGGTACACATTTGGGACCTACCTGCTCCAGAAGCGACTGGTCCCGAGGAAAAAAGAAAGCAAAAAACACGCCTGCATCAAGGGAAATAAGGAACGGAAAATGAACAGTATCAACCCCGGGTTTACCAGGCCTCGGTGTCGAAGTTCTCAACCCCGAAGTATGAGGCAACGACTGTACGGTCAGAGAACTTGCGACCCGCCAGCGCCTTGAGAGCGTTGGTGGCAGACTCAGCGCTATCGTACTTAATGAAGATCTTGCCAGCGCCATGTCCGCGGCGGGGGATCTTAATTCCGATAATCTTTCCGAACTTGGAGCATTCCTCGCTCACGTCCTCCATGATTTCTTCGTAATCTTCGTCATTGAGGAGCTCGTCAAGCGTGACCATGTTGAGGAGCTGCAGGACCTGGGTGGTCTCGAGATCCTGGGAGGTGGTCTTGGCGAACATCTGCATGGCATTCACACCCATGTCGAGGCCAGAGGCTTGCGTGGTTCCAATACTGGCGCGAACAAACTTGAGGTGGCGGTCGGCCAGTTCTATGCCGTTCAAACCTTCAACGGCCATAGTAGTGCTGTTCGGGTCGACGTATTCATAAAAGGCAATTCCCTGGAAAGGTCAGTCGCAAGACATTGGACGGTAGGGACATACTTAAACTTACCCGAGACTCTTCTGTGGCAGCATCCTTGACCAAGACAAACGACTTCAGTTCGCCGAATGACGTTAGCAAGATGATGATAGCGTCCTCATTGATGTAGGTGGGAATATTCGAGATGCAGATCTTGTTGGGTGAATCAGGCACCTCGCTCAGAACGACGCCGGGCTGGACTGGCTGCGCTGCGCTGCCGTCGGGAACAATGTAGTCCTTTGGTCGTCGCACTTCAAGTCCCTTGTCTCCACTCTCCGGCATGGTAATTCCATCGAAAGCCAATGCGACTGTGGCGTCATTTGGATCCTTGAACTCCAGAAGTGCGAATGTTTTGTCTTCAGAAACTTGGGCTGAGATACAAGGGTCGACACTGTGAATAACATTCAGACCATTCAACTGAAGATTGAAGAAGGCAATAACGGCATCGCCCGAAACACCAGGCGGGATGTTGTAAACGAAAAGGCGCTTTGATTGACGAGAGTTGGAAGGCTTGAGGGCGGCATTCTCGCTATCGCCAGTTGGGGGGTTCAGGAAGTCCTTCATGCGGCTGGGGTCCATTGGCTGCTGACGAGGAGCTCCGGGAAGAGGGAACATTCCTGATAATGTTAGGCAATTCCACTAGCCCAGAAGCCTCAAATACATACCTGAGATCTTTGCCTGTTCAGCCGTAACATTCTCGTAACCAGGCGGCTTCATATCCCATTGAGTCAAACGACGTTTGCGAGTCAACACCGAGGGCACATCTGTCAAATCGGGAGTAGGCTCCTTGCGCCGCGGGGGCGTGGCGCTTCGCTTGCGCTCTCTTCTCTCACGGTCTCCACGGTCTCCACGGTCTCCACGATCACCGCGTCCGCCGCGTCGGTCGTCAAACAGGTCGCGACGGGGTCTGTCGTCAAAGTCACGCCGGCGACGGTCGCCCCGGTCACCACCACCACGCTCGGCACGGTCGCCACGGTCCCACTCACGATCATCGCGACGGACAGAATAGCGGTCCTCGCGCTCGCGGGCACGGTAGTCACGGCTGGTTGAGTATGAGTTCACTTCGCGCTCCCGACGGGAGTCAGCTCGGGATCCATGATGAGGCGAACGCGATCGGCGTCGTTCGCCGCGGTCACTCCGACCCCCCCGTTCAGCTCCACGCTCGGATCCTCGTTCGGAACCACGTTCAGCACCTCGGTCGGCAGCTCGGTCAGCTCCGCGTTCGGGTCGGTCTCGCTCACGTCGCTCCTCGCGCTAGAATTGGGGTTAATCGCCGCGGTTGCGACCAAAGATTGGCTGGTACTTACGTAGTGATCGCGGGAACGTCCAGTATCTTAGAGATATTAGCAGTTACAACTGAGGTAATTGTAAGGATAACTTACCCCTGGATGAGTAGGTATCGCCGTTCATGTTGAAGTCGGTTGAGGAAATGAAGCTCTGTCACGATTGAAGGGGAAAACTCATGACCCGGAGCTGCAGGCGGTGATGCCTTCACCGCCCGAGTATCGATCGTGATACCGGCAGAAAAAGACAAACATGAAGGCTGCGACTCCGTAGTCTCGAATCACCTTCTTTTCGTGTTTTAAACATGTCTGTAGGTGCTTTGTCGGAATGGCAGAAGCTGCCTTTGAGTCTAAGTGAGCTTTGCATCAACACTACCCTCAGGTGTGGCCAGTCTTTTAGGTTTGTTAGCCAAGTTTTCGGCCCCCAGGGATCGCAGATCAAACGACTGACCCTCCTTAGATGGCAGAACTTCCCAGAAAGCCAGGAATGGCGATGTGTTCTATATGGCCACCTTCTGTCGCTGAAGCAAGACTCAAACTTCTTGTACTATAGATCTGTGCAACCTCCTTCCCATACGCTCACACCAAAAACCTCCGACAATGACCATCTTGTCAGCATTATCAAACATTACTTCAACCTGGCACCAAATTTGACCGAACTGTACTCCCAGTGGTCGTCTCAAGACCCAAACTTCAAGAAAAAGGCTGCGCAATTCACTGGGATTAGAATCCTTCGACAAGATGCGTGGGAAGCATTGGTATCATTTATCTGCAGCAGCAACAATAATATTGCACGGATCTCGCAAATGGTGGAGAAATTATGCATACATTATGGAAAACCTGTGGCCACCATTGAAGGGCGTGCATATCATGACTTTCCTCCCCCAGGCGCATTAACTGGCAACGACGTGGAAAGCAGTCTGCGCAAGTTAGGATTTGGATACCGGGCTAGATACATATACCAAACTGCAGTTAAGGTATCCAACCGAGACAAGGGCTGGCTAGACAGTTTGAGCAACCCCGAGTGTCCAGCATTTGGCGTGGACCCTAAACCTAGCGGCGAAATGAAACCAGAAGGGCGAGAGGGATATCGTGAAGCCCATGAAAAGCTTCTTGAACTACAGGGAGTCGGGCCCAAAGTGTCAGACTGTGTCAGTTTAATGGGATTAGGCTGGGGAGAGTCTGTGCCGGTTGATACTCATGGTGAGTTCTCTTGACAATATTTCTGATTTGTTTCTAATCCTTTACGACAGTGTGGCAAATTGCACAGCGTGATTATCGATTCGGGAAAAGCTCCAACAAGAACTTGAACAAGACAACTTATGATGCTGTTGCCAATCATTTCCGCAAGCTTTGGGGTAAGGAAGCTGGATGGGCCCATAGTGTGCTTTTCACTGCGGACTTGCGGACCTTTGCAGACAAACTTGCTGCAACCAAGAAGGTTGATGTGAAGGTGAAAGACGAAGAGTCTGATATCACGGTCGAGACACAAGTGACATCTGCGGTCTCTTTGAAAGTCCTTAAAGAGGAAGACGTCGATATGAAAGTCAAGGTCGAGGACATAGATGATACCAAGAAGCCCAGTGGTAAGAAGCGAAAGGAAGCCGAGATCGTTTCTGCCGCTCAAACAACAGAGACACGGAGAACCTCCAAGCGACTAAAGCGCTGAGGCTGCCAGGGACTATTCGGACTACTACTTCTACCCAAAAATGCCTGTACATCATATACTGGAACGTTGCAAAGCAATCAAGTCATGTGCCAAAAGCACAAATCTACAATGGAGACAGGAGTCTAGTGCGATAAAACCTATGTATTTGTATTCAATAATCTTAGCTATATCCCGATCAATGCCTATAGCCGTAGTTAGTATAACGGTCGAGCAACTCATAGCAAAATTCTTGAAGTTGAAAGAAGTCGATCAGAAGTCCAGATAGATCATCGAGCTAGCGTCCGAAAACACTAGCTCTGACATAAGAGGTACCAGAAAATAAAGTAATAACGAATGCGTTGTATCATCAGGTCGGAAGTTTGGAAATTAAGCAAAAAGAGCTGGAACTGACCTGACATTGATGGTGGCGATAGGATGAAATGCGTGTCGAGAATATATACTACAATTTGCGCTCAAGTCACCAGGAAACATTAATTCCAGTATACTCAAGTCCGAAATTGAGATTGTTGGTTGTTGAAGTTGGAACAAAATCGGAAGAGAGATGAAGTGAAGTTTTGTCGAAGGAAAGAAATAAGCGAAGCCCATCACGTGATCCCACACAGGCCCCATCTTTCCCGTCCACACTCACACCCTCTCACTTCTCGATTTTCGATCTTTCATCCACGCCGACAACCGACCAGATTTCCTCCGCCGGACACATCACCAATCCAAAATGGGTCGTCTTCACAGCAAGGGCAAGGGCATTGCCTCCTCCGCCATCCCCTACTCCCGCACCACCCCCGCGTGGCTCAAGACCACCCCCGACCAGGTTGTCGACCACATCTGCAAGCTGGCCAAGAAGGGTGCCACCCCTTCCCAGATCGGTGTTGTCCTCCGTGACTCCCACGGTATTGCCCAGGTCAACATTGTCACTGGTATGGAAATCCGGAGAAGCGCGACCCTAGGAATCTGAGGATCGAGATTTTCTAACATTTTCGCGCAGGTAACAAGATCCTCCGTATCTTGAAGTCCAACGGTACGACTCCCTCCGCCAGCATAATCACATCCGTCGGGTGAAGAGAGCGAACCATTTGTGTGGAAAAGCTTGTGTGGTTCGGTAAAAGAACCCGTTGGTTTCGAAGCGTAAAATGGCCGTCACTCTCCCCGACACTGGTCGCAGAAATGCACCAGCAATTAAGCCTCTGCTTGGTCAAGAACATCTAGACTGACAGAGAGATTTTGGAATACAGGCCTCGCTCCCGAACTCCCCGAGGACCTCTACTTCCTGATCAAGAAGGTAAAATTTTTCCCTCCCTCTTTTCCCCCGTATCTGCATCCGTATAGATTATGCTAACCTCGAATAATCCAGGCCGTCGCTGTCCGCAAGCACCTTGAGCGTAACCGCAAGGACAAGGACTCCAAGTTCCGCCTGATTCTGATCGAGTCCCGCATCCACCGTCTGTCCCGTTACTACAAGACCGTCGGTGTCCTGCCCCCCACCTGGCGCTACGAGAGCGCCACTGCCTCCACCCTTGTCGCATAAGCGCATTTCGGGAGGATGAGTGGTTGACGGAGGGAACCCATCGGATCGTCGTGATCGTCGTATCTAGAGGGTCTATCTTCTGCTAGGTACAACAAAAAAGATTACGATTATTTGATACCCTGTTCATGAATGCCCTAGACGTCTTTTAGTTGTAGGTGCGGCTAGTAGCTGCCGATAGAAGGTGATTTAGATCTTAAATGATCGGTAGTCAATATATCCATGAAGTGGGTACTACAAGTAATATACTGCATTTCGTCCCAATCATTAATACATGTACTACGTATGTGACGCATGTGGTAAGCTGGAGCGTTAGCAAATGAGGCTATGTTGTACATTTTAAGCAGGCATATTTTCAAGAAAAATACTGTATAAGTGCTATTCACATATCACACTCAGCTCTAACCTCCCTCGCCATGGCATTGCAAAGCTCAACTTTAACACCAGCCCCCAATAAGACATGGATCCAAAGGCGCTGAGTATCACTCAACCGATCGTTCTCCGACTTAACCTCGGCGAACATTACTGTCCTCTTCTCATGACTCCAGAGGAACAAGTCCGGGATTCCCCCACCGCGCTGCTGGTACTCCTGCGCCATAACCTTGCAGATGGTAGCAAGTGCCTCTCCCCGGAAACACTGCACGATCTCAACCAAGTCATCTAGATCGAAAGACCAGTCAAGCCCAACGGCGCAGGGCTGCGCCTCCGCCTCACGAGCATGGATCTCACGGATGATCCGCTCCGCATCCCCATTTGTGATCTCAACAAGCCGGTGATTGATCTCTGATGCACGAGACGGGTAGAAAACATCGGTGTGGAGATCGAGCGGACAGGTCTGAAAAGCAGTCTGGAATACATTAGGTACGTACGTGAATAGGATATCGTAGAAGAGGTAGCCGAACTGTGTTCAAGATCAGAGTCAGCCCGGTCCTCGGGATATTCCAACGCTCCTTTGTATAGGGTAAGACTCACCAGCGTCCGTACAATTCCCCCCTCGGAGTGATACCCTTTCCAGCCGTGATCTCGGTACCAGCTCAGACACATACTCTCCACCCTACACTCGCCGCCCTCTCTCTCATCAACCCAAACAGTCGCCTTTCCCTTCCGCGGAGCATCACCCGTATCAATACGGATGCCCTCAATCGTCCGCTCAGCCGGCTTTCCCAGCATAACATGTCCAAAATCATGCTGCTCGCGCTTCACGACCCGCAACGCCTTTTCCAACTTCGTGATCCGCTTCTGCAAGTCATAATGAAAGATCAGATGGCACAGCGGGTCTTCCAGTCCGGCCTCGCACGTCTGCAGCGCAATTCTCTTCCAATGCTTGCGCTGAGCTTCTTCGCTGCGCCCATCTGCAGGCGTAAGCGCCCACATGTAGTGTTCTTCCAGCAGTGCTTTGCGCTGATACCACGCACCGCGCCGCGCAGCGTGGAAAAGACGTTGGGCGAGAAGTTCCTCCAGCACCTCGTGCTCGCGTTTATGCTCCTTGAAGCGCCCGAGCGGATGTAGACTTTTGTGGATGATTCTTGTGAGCACCCATGCCGGCGAGAACCGGCGTAGATATGCGCCTTCGCCGCTTTCGTAGATGCTGTCTTCTTTCTTTTGCTCTTGCTGGACTAGCTCTTTCCATCGGGGATGGGACTTGTTCGCAAGGTCGATGATCTGTTGGAGGGATTCGGTCGTGACTGGCCCGTTGAATTCGAGGATGTTGTCGATGGCGAATTGGGTTTGTATCGCTGACTCGAATTCCAATAGCGCTTCTCTGGATGAGAAGATGGAATTCGAGCGGCAGACGATATATTCGGGGAATGTTCTTTTGGTCATTTTGGCTAAGATAATTGTTGTGAGGGACTTTTCTGTCCATTCAGTGGAACGATAGAACACCAGGTGCACCCGCTCGAAGAGAGCGCGAGGCACTGGCGAGATCCTGATACACCCACCAGTGTAGTCCAACATCTTCTGGGTGAAGTATCCATCTCTGTTGTTTGTGTCTTTGAGTCCTGTTTGGGTCTGGCTCGCTTCACGAAGAGCCGCCAGCAGCTCTTTCTTGCTCTTGCCTTGGACCTTGGCCTCCTTTGCAAACATCTTGAGTTCTTCCAGCAATAGAAGTGATGAAGCCTCTTCCAGTGTTGTGATCGCCTCTATGCCTTCTGCAAATCTGAATGTATCCCCGAGTTCTGAATCAGGAAGGCCCCGGTCCCGCTGTAGATCCTCGGCAACAGAGAATAAATCCGAGATGTCGGAGTAGTAATTCAATCGGTTGATACGGTGCCAGGCGGAGGTCTTGCGGAGGAAGAGTCGAACATACCTGGTCAAGCATTAATCTCAACCATAGCTCATCACGTTCTACAGGAAGACATACAGATACTGGGATTCGTAGGACAGCCCCTGCCACTGCGTAAACATTTCCATTTCGGCCTCGTTAAAGAGATGCGATTCCTCATCCAGCACAGTTTCCAGTGCCAAATTGAACGCATCCACATATATGGAGCTTTTGCCTTTCTGCCAGGCACCATCTCGTAGCCTCACATGCAATCCCAACTTAGTGATATTCTGTAACGCCTCGTACTCCCCAATGGCGTCCTCGTCCGTCCTGATCGCAGGAAGGGAAGTCTCGAGTTCTGTTTGACTGTTGGTAATAATCCCTAAATCGTCCGCTGCGTGTGTTTCCTCCACCGTGACCGAAGGACTCGGACTCGGTGGTGCTTTAATCTCGACGTCTGTACTAAAATTCTCTTTCTCGAAAGTCCGCCGACGTTTCGCGGGACGCTGCGTCTCCCAAAAGTTCAGCAGGGACATGATCTTCCGTGTCCATGGATGCAATCAGTCCCGACAACTCGAGTCTCCGAGCATAAGCAGACACGAACGACGTGTCTTGCAAACAGGTTTCAAACACGAGATCACGTGTTCGATATAACTCTATTAGGCTGTTTGTCCTGTTTGCGTATGACATAGATAAAGAGGCACAGTCAAACACATAAAGAACTAAGCGTAGACAATCCGAAAGAGAGAAAGAAAGAAATGCCATCTGAATATCACTCGAAAAGTTCCTGAGTACAATCTCCAGATATAAAAATGGCCCTACCAGTAAGCCTCAGCTCTCCCTCCCTCACAACGGATCGACACCTCCGAGCTCCACAGCTTCCGCTCCGCGAACATTCGCCGATTCCACTGTTGCGACTCCCACTTCTTCCCAGAAGATACACACCCCAGGCTCTCAATTAACCTGTGCAGCCTCCCACTCTCGCGACGTCAGATCCACCCGCCTTCCCAGCTCCTACACACACCCCAGCGCCCCAACCAAAACCCACATCCACAATGGGTGAAGCAAACGGCTCCAACACGCCGCTTGGGGATTTGGGCAATATCTCTGCAGGCCAGATTCGCCCCGGTGGTGCACCTGCACGCGTGTATCTCAATGAGAAGGTTGTGCCATATCTGCTCGACGGGATGAAGTCTGTTGCGCGCGAACAGTGAGTGGAGAGTACTATGGCTAGCTAGCTTTTCTATGCTTTCTGCTGAATGGCTTTACTGATATCTTTGTCTTTCTTTTTATACGCTAGGCCTACCAATCCTCTCCGTGTCCTCGGCGAGTTCTTGCTTCAGAAGAGTAACGAAGTGGAGGGCGAGACTAAGAAGGAGTCGGAGTAGAGAGGAAAGAGGTCAGAATTTCTTGGGCGTTTGACGGTGCTTGATCGGCTGTTCTGGGATTCTTTTTATTTTTTTCTTGCTTTATTCCGTTTACATTTTTTGTGAATGCATTGATGGCTTGGTTTTAAAAGCTTGTGAGCGGACTTTGATGCACACTAAGACGTCACCATTTGATACCCCGGTTAATGTCTATACCTGTGTTGCTGGTAGGGTCGGAAGGATAGCAGAAAATAAAGATAGTGAGAATAATGTCTTAAAAAGCGAGGTGATTCTCTACCCATCAGCTGTGAAACTACCGGCATATACCTACGTAGGAAAGTAGAGTACGTCAAATAATATGCGAGAACATTAGAAGGCAGTTTGTGGGAATTCAGCTTCCCAGCGCATGTATTCTGCATGTTGCAGTCCTTCTAGCTAACACTGACAAGGGTGAAGAAGATCTAAAAAAATATCTAGGAAGGTATTGTGGTGTGATCCTAAATAGAACGTCGCTAGTACCATCTCAAATAGGTCATATCCTTCAAGTCCCGTCGAGGACAGAGACTACGCTAGTGGCTGATTGTAAAAGGATATATGAACATCACGGTAAGCTTATGGGAGGCGAAGGAAGAAATGCTCTAGTGTTTCGAGTATTGTATTATTCTTCACTAAAGACTGAAGTCTCATCAAAGAAAATCCAAACGTGGATTCAAAGACATGGAGTGTCTTGGATAAGTGCTCAGGAGGGGACCTTAGCTTGTCCTCTTCGAAGTAGTATGCATCTCATGCTGGAGTCCTAGACCGAGCTAAGGTCTGGTCGAGGGCATATGGAACCATCCAAGTATGGAAGCCGATATATATATTCAAGTTTGGAAGCAAGCTTCATAGAGATTCCTAAGTAGGATAAGTACAAGCATGTTCTCCCCCGACCAACATTCGGGGAAGAACAAACAATTCCAAAAAGAACCTAGATAGGTCAGCTTGCGAAACACATCTCACCTTTAATGGCATTGTCAATATTCCAAAATCGATTTATGCCTGGAGGTTTAAAGGTTGAGACTACAAGCAAAGTCGACGGCTTTGGATTGGGCGAATGGTTGATCATTCAGTTGTTTATGAAGTCGAATACAATCGAGCCGTTACTGGAGATGGTGTAGAGGTGAAGTTGTAGCTGTAGCTGTGACGAATTTGCTGACCCTGAGATAACCGAATTACAGCGATAATTTTCTGTCCCTTTGCCGCTAGAAGTTTTTTTTCCCGAAGTTGCGTCGCGAACAGACATAAATGAGACACATCATCAAGCGACCGAAGTATGCAGTGATGAAGTTGCCGAGTCGTAGCGCTCCGTTTTTCTTTCTTTTTTTCAAAATCGTCGAGCCGAGAGCAATTCACAAACAAAGACAACGACGCCCCGTGGCCCGTCGCCCAAATCCCGCATTAAAAAAAATCCCAGAAACAAAGAAAAAGGGGGAGGAAGTGGGCAAGCTGGAGA